TACTACTTGAGGAGGAAAAACTAAAATGAATGTTGAGGGAAGATGCCAGGAGCCCTCTAGAAAGAATGCCGTCTTTTCATGGCTCGTTTCTGTTAGTGTGTACATGAGATTCACTTGGCCACTTTTAGTCCCCAAGATGTGTCTTGGAAGTATCCAAGTATTCCAAGTATCCCCCATGGAAACAGGGGAGGGAAGAGAGAATAAACTTGCTTGATGTGCATGAAGGTGATACACTGGAACTGGAGGTTGTATGACTTGTCTTCTGCATAGAAACTCAGAACATTGTTTTATTATTTTATTATGAGCCTGGCACCTTTATGAAAAATAAAACCAAAAAGCAACCGACACCTTTGGTTTATTTTAATCCCATTCACAGATTGGATTTAAAAAGAAAAAAAAAAAAAAGGCCCAAATCCCATATCCTTTCCTCACCCCTCCTTTACTCAAAGGAAAGGGGCAAAACCTCAATTTTCCTTGACAGTGGATTGCAAATATGAGCAAACTCTTAATATTTAATTAATGTCAAAGGGAAAATTAGAAATCACACCTGTGATGTCTTCACACTGAAGATCTCGGGTAATTTTACAGTTACCGATGACGACAGCTCAAAGCCGTTTTTTCCTGAGAAGGCTATGATGTCATTGTGTGACATCAATAACCCTCACTTTCAGTAAGTTGCTGGACTACCAGGTGAAACCCATTCCAGTTTAGCATCGCAATATCTTCCCCCACTTGTAAATGGAAGCAGGTGTTAACACTCTAGTTTTATTACAGCTTTTTAAAGCTGTGCATGTGCTTTTACTTGAGCAAGTAGCTTTGGGTTGAACCAAACCTTCTTTTTAGTTTTCTGCTTTTTTTTCCCCCTTTGATTTAATTCTCAGTGATGTGTTCCTCTCAGTTTTATTAATTATGTTTAAACTTATTTCCCGTTGTTCTGTTCGGTCCTTCTGGCAGTTGTAATTAGTTTGCACCAATGTAAAAATGTTGTGGATTTCGTGTATATTACATAGTTTTTAAAAGACTAAAGTTTATTCCGTTTCAATTCAGTTTGAAATTAAAATTAGAAGAGCATGACTTTGTGAAAGGAATTTTACTTGTGCTTGTGTGAAAGACTGAGTTATCTTACATGCAACACCAGCTTTTGACTGTATTTCTTTCATGGTTTATTGAACCATTTTGGAATCATGTTCATAATAATCTTGCAGTATTAAATGAGTTTGTTTAGAAACTGAGTCTTATGTTTACTTCAGTTTAAATAATTCTATAGACTAGGTATATTCTTAGGTTACAATGAAAAGGCTGTGGTTTTGGGGGTGGGAGGGAAGAGTAAGGACTGAGAAGATAACAGAGGTCAGTGGATCTAAAATATTTATTAAATTCTTAAACTCTACATATCAATGAAATTCTTCCTTAAAAACAACAAACCCACAACAAAAAAATGTTGGGTTAGGGGCTAATTGCTTCTTAATTGACTTCCAGAGAAGATTCAGAGTCTTCTGAAATTTTCTAGGACTCGATTAATAAAATTGTCTAACCAGAGAACTTCAGCAAGTATCAACAGGTGAAATAATATGTAACCAGACTTGCAATCTTTTTTTTTCCCTGTAAGATTGTGACACAAATTCAAGTGCAGTTAAGAACATTTTCTAGCCAGCAGTATAGATAGTTGTAACAGTATATGGTCCCTGGCAAGCAGAAGTTATGCTTAGGTACACTTAAAAAGTGCCCCCTGACCCTCAAAGCCAAGGGATTGTACCGCGGGGCCTGGAGAATTGATAAAACTGTTTGAAAAGTGTCCTTGGCTCAGTTTTCTCACCCACAGGGTTTAACTTGCACTATAAAGCTAAAGTTACAGATTAAGAACTATTGGGGGTCTTCTAACATGAAAATGAATAACACATGGTTTATTTTTTTCTGAAGCCTGCACATTCTAAAACCACTGGCTGTAAGGACTGATGCCCTCGCAGCACAGGAATTTGTAACCCTCTGTTCTTTTTTTATGGCAACATAACTCAATAATTCAAATTTTGAGTTACTCTTTATTTTCTCTGTAAGTATTATTTGGTTGTTTGTTTTTTTTTTTTCTCTTGTTCTCTCTCCTTATCCACCAAATAAATAAAAAAATCTAGAATTTAATTAAGATATTGCAGTCATTCATTTTTCCAAGCTCTTTTAAAGTAATTTAAAGTGGTAGTGGCCAGGTCTGGAATGGTGAATTATAGGAAACACACAATCCCCGGTCTTTACTAGCACCTTACAGAAATTCAGTGTTCTCCTGTGAAGTCTGCATCCAAAGGTTTTATTGTTCATCCATAGACCAGCTACTGCAGTGTGTTTGAGGGGGAAAAGGCTGAAATATGACTTCTGCAACGTCTTGATTCTTTTAGCATCAAGAGATGCACTTTCTTAGCGCAGGTTAAGGTTGTGTTCAGTTTGAGCTACAATGAGAATGGTCCAGTTAATGTTTGCAGATCAATATATATGTCTACCAGAAGCTGTGGTTTTTTATGTCTAAAATCTGCTTTATAGCACCTTCTGAAGAAAAGAGGAAGTTTTAATCACTTAGGCTGTGTGTGGAACTCTGTCCTCAGCAATTTACAATATTGGCATCTTTTATTGTTGCCTTTCTTTCTCTCCTCCCCTCCCCTGGGAAAAATGGGATCAATCAGTTTTTGTATTGCCCTTTAAACAGAATAATCTTCTTTAATTAACCTCAGAAATTCGTAGAATTCTTGACAACAAAATCTTGGCAACAATGAGGTTTTTGTAGATGTCCATATATATTCTTTTTATCAAACTTTTAATTGGAAGTTCCTGTTCACTATTACTTTGCAGTTTGCAAAGCACTGATTTATCAAATCATCCAGCGATTACAAGAGGGGGAATTAAACCGTGTAACACGTACTAGGTTTTTAACAAAGGAATGGTTTAGGGTTAAACACATACCAGAGCTTTGTAAAATGTTTAATGTGGAATCCACCAATAAGGAAGTATTTGTATCAAATAAGTAAATGATGGTAAATAACTATTACTTTTTATTACTCTAAGAATCTTGAACAAACTCCAGATCATTAAAACCGTGGCTTTTTGGTTAATTATCTGCAGCACATCATTTTGTATTGAGTAAAGAATCTTAGGCTTGAAAATGCTTGCACTTTCAGGAAGTTGCTTTTTTTTTTTTTTCCACCTTTTCTTTTTCTTCTTCCCCTTGTTTAGACTTAAAGTGGGCTTGCTTATGATTTTGAATGTAAATAAATGTAATCAATTTATATGAAGAGGTATGAGGGGCCCAAACCCCTTTGCTTTAGTGATGGGGCAGGTACTGATGGAACAGTGGGAAAAGACTCCCTGTTGCAGGCAGTCACAGAGAAGGATAATGTGTAGTCTAAAGTAAAGGACACCAGAAACAGACCTGTATTAGAAGGTGATAATTCTCTCACTCCACATCTTAAAAAAATCTATCTAATAGAAAGGAAGTACTTTGAAGAGTTAATTATTATGTCGATGTGTACTTCTAAACGAAATAGAACGTGGGAGTTTGTTTTTGGAAATTTTACTTTAACTGTTAAAATCTGATGGTGTTTTTCAAATACATGGTTTTGAAAGAGTGTATTTGGCTATTGACGTATCCTGAAGTGCTGCTGATATTTTTCTTGTTTTTCTGCATTGCATATTTGGACTGTCTTCTTGGGCACATGTTTCTGATGACTTTGCCTCGCTGCAGTTCACACGATTCCTCTGCGAGTCTCCTCTGGAGGTATGTATTCCTTCTAGAGGTGAGTTTTGAGATGAATGCATTATTTCTTCTCCACTTTCTGCAGACAGCAAACCAGTATTGTATAGATGGCTGTCACAGTATTTATCATCACCGACTGGTGAGGAAGGTAGCACTGTGTTTTCAAAGGAGCCTGAGGACTCCTTTGCTGGATAATAAGCTACCACTGAATTTTGTGTCACTGCATTAAGAGACAGCAGCAGAAAGCGCTGTGTCTTTTCTATTCTTGATTTATTTCTGTGAAAGAAAAGAATATTACTAAATAACTTGCTAAACTAACTTGTATTTGACTACAATATGAATTCAAAGTTTAGGAGAGATGGTGTTGCTTCATTGCAAGTAAGCAAACTGCCACGGATTTCTTGCACCATCTTCCTCGTTAGTCTTAAAGAGTTAAGTACCGTGTGACTGTAATGAAATTGTCAGGTTATAGTAATTACACTAGTAATTTGATACGTCGCAGTTTGAATGAACCCATGTGTGGAGAGTTTGTTGCTTTTCTCTGCTGAGTCCACTGGCCTTTACATTCCTGAAAGCTGAAGAGTAATAGAGCTCATTAGACTTTATAGGAAAAGGGCTTTTATCACCTCGTCAACTTGGGCAGCAGACTACCATTATATTCTTAATTTTGTGTGGCTATGTAGATGTTGATGCACACTTCCCTGCCAGGTTTATACCAGTATTGTTTCTTACAGACACTTTTTATTGACATTTCGAAGCTTGAATTAAATTTTGTGTGGCACCACTACAGATGTCTTCAATTAGATGAAGTTAAATAAAAGGGGTTGTATATCAGAGGCCAAGGGATTCTTGAAATTCTTTATTCTGAAACAGTTGCCACAAGGAAATCTAGTAGTGTGTAGTCTGTTTGAACAAAAATAATTTAAAATAAAATTTAAACGTGACATGATTTCAATTTGTGATTTTTTGAATTTTTAATATTGTTATTAGGTGCAGATAGTATGAACACCCAAACTCATCACGTCTTTTTCGTTTCCTCATTTTCTTATTCTGTCTAGTTTCTGTTTTGGCTATGGGCTCTGGCACAAAAGATGAATAGTTTAAAAAAAATGATATAGTTCGATAGTTCGTAGTAGCAGAAAACTAGGCAATTTTCTAGCAGTAAACAGGATAATGTACAGAGAGCTGTTTGAGAGGTTTTTTTTATTCATCCTTTGATCTTAGAAGCTACATTTAAACATTTACCATTTTACTACTTCACACATGCAAATGCTACCTTGTTTGGAAAGGTATAATGGTTCGGTACAGGAGAATGACGTGCAGGAGTCTTAGCCAAAAACCAGTGTGGCCTGGTACCCTGTTCTTGCCAAGGTGAGAGTGTTTTTGGAAGAGGGGAACAGGGAAAATCCAGCCTGCTTGGGGTGTTTCCTTGGTTTTGGTGCTCAGTGAGTTAGGGGGATATTCTGGGCCAGTGGTTGTATCAGCATCACTAATAGTCATCTCTGCGTTTGTCCTTCCCGAGTTGTTGCATGTTGTCTTAATAATACAGCAGTCGGAACGAGCCTCAACACGCAGGTATGCCATGGCATTCCGCAGTCTGTTTTGTTTTCAAATCCTTCTCTCACTGCTCTTTAGTCTTTTTCCATCTTGGCTGGTGCTAAGCATTAAACTGAGGAATTCATAAAATGGCTCTCAAAAGCGTCTTTTTGAGAGAATTCCTAATTTAGACCCGTTGTTTTGGATGTGTATAGAGCAATTCCAGCCCCTCCCCATGAATTTATGTTCCATGGATTTATGAACATTAGATATTTCTTCTGCCTTTTTAATTACTCAATGTTATGGGATCTTTCTGTAGTTGTTTACACTCAGCTCTTATTTAACCATCCTGACTACTTTTAAACCGTCAGCTCAATCTGCTGCAACGTTGTTCAGTCTTCAGTGACTCACCTGCCAGTGTGGAGAACAGAACAGATCCAGCACAATGGAAAGTGTTCTGCTTTCCGTGACGTAAATGATCTCCTGTTCTCACGTTATATCCTGTTAATCCGTGTTGAGATGCTTTTGAATTCTGAAGATCTGAAAGACATTTGTGAATCTAGGTCTTTACTCTTTGAAAAGCACATTAACTTCTGCTCTGCGTTATTTTTTCATTGATGTGTGTTAATTTTTAGGACATCTAATAACAAATGGTATCATTACAGGTCTGTAATTCCCAGGATCACCTTCTGTAGAATGTCATATTTTACTCACATTTGATGCACTGCTCAGGACTAATCAAAACTCGTTTCATTTAGAGATCTTGGCAAATTGCCTTTTTTTTTTTTTTTAAATAACGATGTAGATATCACTATGATATCTTGCTGCTGAAGTCCCTCGTACCTTCACAGCTTCACTAATCTTTTTAGCATTTTGATCTTACTACCACTTTCCTGATTAAATTGTTCCGTAGACAGTGTCTTACATTTTGATGCACTAAGTTGATTTACTTTGTTTTCATACAGAATCACAGAATCATTCAGGTTGGAAGGGACCTCTTGAAATCACCTAGTCCAACCCTCCTGCTTGAGCAGGGTTAGCTAGAGCAGATTGTCCAGCACCATTGGTTTTGAATATCTCCAAGGATGGAGACTCCACAGGCTTTCTGGCCAGCATGTGCCACTGCTTGACCACCATCTCAGTTAAAATCTGTTTCCTTCTGTTCAGATTAAATTTAACATGTTTTAATTTGCATGCATTGCCTCTTGTCCTATCAGTGGTAACTACTGAGGAGATCCTGTCTCCCTTATCTTCATTCCCTTCTGTCAGATATTTGTACATACTGATAAAACCTCCCCCTGTGTCGTCTGTTCTTGAGGCTGAAGAGCTTTCTCAAGCTCTCCTTATACCTCAGATGCTTGAGTTGCTTAATCATCTTTATGGCCCTTACAGACTCGCTCCAGTAAGTCCTTATTTTTCTTGTACTGGGGAGCCCAGTGCTGGACCCGGCACTGCCGATGCAGCCTCACCAGTGCTGAGCAGAGAGGGAAGCTCACCTCCCTTCCCCTGCTGGCAGTGCTCTGCCTGGTGCAGCCCAGGATGCTCTTGGCCTTTTTTGCTGCAAGGGTGCGTTGCTGGCCTTTTTTAATGAGCACAGGCAGTGCTACCTCTCTGCTGACACAGCCTGTGTTTGTAGGCTGCTTTCACAGCATCTCCACTACTCCCTAATGAAAGGAGGACGTAGTGGTGAAAAGGGAATATGTTGCTAACCAAGAGATAGAGTTCGACCATATGGTAGCTTGTGTATGTGTATCCATGTGCCTTTGGGAAGGGAACTGCTGGAATTAATCACTTCACTTCTTCAGCAAATAATTTCCACTGGAGTGTAAAGTCAAGGGTTTCCTGGATATTTTTTTTTTTTTTTGTGTAAAAGGATAGCATGGATTTCGTATCTTCCTCCTCCCTACATCGACAGCAGAGGGTAAAATGGAAAAGTTCAAGATAGGAAATTTCATGAAACTTCGCCAAGAAAAATAATCATGCTGTTAGGATGGTCAGGACCCATTTTTGGTAGGAGAGTATGCAGTGCCCTCGCCAAGAAAAATAATCATGCTGTTAGTATGGTCAGGACCCTATTATATTGTATTCGAGAAGTCGTGGCGGTCTGGCCAGTTGCATGCTGGTCTGGCATGCGTGTTAACAAGTGCGGTTTCCATAATAATAATAATAATAATAATAGTGAAGTAGTAGAACATCTCTTAAAAGTAAAGACAAAGACCAGTGTGCTTCGAAGAAAATCACCATCACTGAAGTTCAATTATAAGCAGTTATTACATTGAGGTGTACTAATTGGGGCAATATGTAGTACCATTTGCTATTAAACATTTAAATTTTAATAATATGTTATAAAATACAAGCAATGAAGTGTGTTCATGGAATCATTAGCCAGAAGAATATGAAGACAGGTAGAATTAGCATGGGATGGAATATATTGTGTTTTTATCTGTATTATAGATTAAATATTGGAGAGAAAATTATTTGTTTTAATTTTTGTCCTGGGTTTAGTTCTTATTTTTTCATTGTTTCAGTATCATCAGATTATAATAATTCATTGTACTCAAGTTTGAGTATAAACTGATGATTTTAAACAAGTTGGTCCCTCTGGACACCCAGAGCTAATGTGTATTATTTTGGGTAGATAAGGTAAGCCCTCTCCATTGGGGCTTGCTCACCTGATCTCACTGGTATATTTTACATCACCTTTGACAAACACGGTCCCAGGTGGACCTGTCAGTAGTGTGAAATAGTATAACCTGCTTCAGGAAAATGCTTCATATTCTAGACCTTTTTCACGTCAAATTGCCTGGATGGTGCATGAGAAATCGAGTTAAAGGAGCCAAGTGTTCATTGAGAGATTGAAGAAAACGTTAACACTTACAAGCGTTACAAAGGATTGCATTGTGTGGAGGAGGAAAACGTTAGTCTTTTTAAAAGTGTTATTTGCTTAACGTGGTGGAGATCTCGGAACGTTTTGCCTGAAATCAGTGCTGTGCTTATTATGTTTGTTGCAGAACATAGCCTCTTTTATGCTCGTGACATTTCATTGTAATTGCATTAGAGAAAAAACTGTAGTTTATACTCTACTAGAAGGTCTTAACTGATGCTAATACTTAAGTTTGCAGAGGTCTGGTGACCGAACCCATGCGATGCCGTTTGGGGTCACACACAGATACAGCATTTCTTTAACTTTAGACTTTGCTTTGAGTGAGAATCTTTTCCATGTTGGCTTAAACTATCTTTTTAAACATTCATTAAATCCTATATGATGAGTTTTTGACCAAAGAAAGACAATCTGTTTTAACTGTAACTAAAGTCTATGTTGTATTACCAGTCACGTTTCCCCTTGGCTTGCAGGAGATGTTTCATTTTTTTCTGTCACCAACTGCACCCTGGTAACTGAGACGAGAACTTAACCTGTGCTGAGAAATCCTTAGAGAAAACCTTTTACTTGGCTGTGTCTCACCTTAAAAGTTTTACTACTGACCATGTGATTCATTTAGCTCTACTAAAAAGTTGAAGATATTGTATGAAACCATAACTGTTGAATAAGTAGGCTTTGCCTGAATGAGAAGAAAGAGGTTGAGCTCTCAAATGTTTGATCGTTCCACTTTTACAGCATCTGTAGCTCCATATCTAGTTTTATGCTATATACCCATATAAAAACGCAAACATTTTATTATATGGCTTTTGTTTTGGGACTTACTGGTTGGATAAGTCAGTTGAAATGATTTTTGTTCACGTGATTGATTTCTTTTAACACATGTGGTACCAATTAGAATAACTTCTACTGCCCATCATCTCTTCAGTCTGCGCTACTGTATCAAAATACTTGATTAAACCCACCTTCTGTTGTTGTAATGCAAACCAGTTGGTAATAGAAGGCAATATTGTCAGATTTATTGAGTGAGAAGCAGCTTTCTGAAGATCTGGCAATGCAGTGAAAAACATGACTAGATGGATAATTAAGTTGAGCACAGTGGAATTCAGGATTAAAGTAAACTTGATGTGGGAGAAAATGGCATGCCAAAGTTGGTTGTGTAATACAGTTTAAATTAGGAGATCATTTTCTTCTTAATTTGAAGCATCAGTTTCTGGCTTTAGATGCTTTATCCTGTCCGGAGCCTTACTTAACTCTACATCCAAAACCACAGCGCACAAGAATAGCGAGTTCCTTAGTGTTTTTGCAGAAGATACTCTGATGTGGGCTGACAAAGAAGAAGCTCCACAGATTCTGTTGCAACACAAAGTTCCAGCTTCTTAGATAAAAGGGTTTTTCTTGGTCGTAAAGAGTAAACCTTAAAAAGAGTAAACCTCACATAAAGAGTCAGCTGTTGAGTTCTTTTTGTAAATGCGCTTCTCGAGCAAATTTAGTGACCTCTCTGAGAAACTGGATATCTGTGGCCAGAGTGCTTCCAGTACTTGGGACACGGGGGAGGGAAACAGTAGGGTCCCTGCTGTGGAGGAACCAGAGAGTCACAGCCAGCTTTGGGAAGCTCCAGCGCAGTGAAATGTTTGCATTTCACCTTTCTGCTTTTGGGCTGCTTCTCTTGTTGAAGAGTAAGTAGGACAAATCAGAGTATCTGCAGAATTTGTCTGGATGTAATAATGCATTCATAACTTGATGAGTCACGTTTTATCATTTTGGTGCTATAAGTTCCAGATGGCAGAGACTGTTTGCAGATTCGTGTTTGGGATGCACAATATGTAAAGTTTACCAATCATGACTACAGCAAAGGTCACAAATGATACAGTGAACTAACATTGTTTTCCTCATTTCTTAAATTCCTTTTTTCTTTCTTTTTTCAAACATAGATAGCAGGAATAATTTCTCACAGTATTTACTTTTGTGTTAAAATTCTTTCTAAAGTTGTTTTTATACCAAAAGTCTACCTATCGGGCAATTACATCCCTCTTTTGTTTTCGCTTAGGCAGAGAATGCACCAGATGGACCAGAATGTGGCTATGGATCTTTCCACCAGCAGTATTGGCTGGATGGGAAGATAATTGCTGTCGGTGTAATTGATATCCTGCCCTACTGCGTGTCCTCTGTCTATCTGTACTACGATCCAGACTATTCTTTCTTATCTTTGGGAGTCTACTCTGCGTTACGGTAAGAGGACATTTTTGTTATCTGGTTAGACGTAATAGTAAGAATTGATACTTGTTCCTAAACTTGAGCTTTTATTTCCAGTCCAAACATATACTCATAACACTACCTCTAGCAAAGTGTTTGTGCTTTGTTTTTTTTTAATTCTCTATAGTTGGTTGCATTCTAAATAAATTTTTAATTGTCATCCTTGAATAGGGAAGTATATTTCTAGTTAGCTAAATACTTCTAAAGATTAAAAAAACACCCAGAAACTAAATACCTAGTTTTTATTGCCACTGAAAATAATTTAGTATTGCTTGGTTT